TTTAAAAGGGACCTATTATGCAAAAATCACTTTTATAAAGGATTTAAAAATGGTTGTGGCAACACTATGTGAATATAGCCAGCCTCTAATGGTAAAAATAAATAGTTTATATTTTTTATAATTACACTTTGGAAAAAATAGACTGTAGAAACAGTTTGGTTGATATGTGTGATCGGAGGGGGAAAGTCCTGCCCATTAGTGACAATCTCTCCCTCATTAGCAAAGACAGCCCTGAGTGAGAAGCAGCCGTCTGCCATTGGAGTTTGAATCTGCTGCTATGCTGACACATAGGCATTTAAAGCTCCACCCTCTTTTGAAAAGAGGGCTGGGAGCCTCAATCTCATTTGAATTTAAAGCGACAGTCACCAAAATGGCACAATTAGGATGAAAGGCTAAAAGAGGCAGTTTCAAAGAGTTATGAAAAAATTGTCTGGTATTTTGAGCCAAAACTTATCAGGCTAATCATATTAACCTTTATTTAACCTTCATTTTTCCAGAACAGTGCAGGCCTAACATGGTTCATGGTTGCTAAGCCACGATTGGTCTGTGGCAGTTTTCGATTGTGGTTTAGCAAAGGGTAAATTATAATTACTAATGCACCCTAGAAATATTGCACATTTACTCAATATTGCATCTGCTACTATAAATTTAAAAGCAATTTAAATCTGGTTGGGTTTCTTTAGTATTTTTACATTTACAAAAAAAAGTTTTACAAGTGATTCCAACCATATATCCTTTTTCAGTAATGTTATAATTAGAGCTGCACAATTAATCGTTAAAAGATCGCGATCTCGATTCGACCCCCTAGACGATCTTAATCCAGCATTTTTACTATTCTGCCAATCATATTTTCAAGTTCAGGAGAGAAGAAAAGGCGATTGCACGAGTCTTTTTATTGTTTTACACACGTTGCTCAGTGACATTGACACCTCCAAATGATGTTGAATAAGTCACATACTGTATTTATAAGGTATAACTCACCTAAAAATTTTATTTTTGTTTTAATATAATGATGTTACCTGCATATGTTGCGAGTAACAGGTAATCTAAGTTGTAAATAATATTCAGTTTGTGGCACAGAGTGATCGTTTGGGAGCCGCGTGCGAAGCATGAACAAGTACTTAGCAGTCAAAACGAAACCGAAGTGTGCACTTCATTTAAATGATCATATCGCATTTTAGAGTTATGATAACGACATTTGATATGTTTTTTCTTTCATAGCGAACACACAGTTGTGCATGAAAATAAATGTTTACAATGTCAGTATAACTACTCTAGCCTATATATTGTTGAATATAATCTGATAATGGCAAATGTCTGATTTTACCAGTGAATTAAATTTTCTAATATGACAGATTGCAAGCATATATCTCAAACATAATAATTCAACATCCGCATTATTATAAGAATAGATTAATATAGAATAGAATTATTTATAGAAACCAGTAGAACTAATATTATTATCGAGGTTGTGCCATATGTTTGTTTTCACCATACCTTTATTTTACATCTACAGAATCGTGAGAAAATCGTGATCTTTATTTTAAGCAAAAAAAAAAAAAAAATTGCGCTTTTCATTTTAGCCAGAATCTTGCAGCTCTAGTTATAATTATCAACAGCTTTTAAAATTGTATATCTATTGTTACGGCAATCTTAAATGGCACTTAATATCTTCAGCAATCCACACTTTTGGGATCTAACTTGTTGCATCTCATTTACATAATTATGACAAAATTTATAATGCAACATTTTAAACTAAACTAGAAAAGAATGTAAAATGGCAGAATTTTCAGTAGTAGATTCAGACCTCACAGAGGATATGCAGTTTAGCACATTACCTTCAGTGCATCACCTACCACAGTCAACACTTTTCTCCCCAAATATGCTGAATACAGAGAAATTTTCACAGCAGTGCAGACCCTCCCCTCCAATTGAGTCACACACACACACACCTCGACTCACTGCCGCAGTGCTAATCGCCATGCCAACACACACACCCACCACCCATGTGCACATACAAAATCAAACCGAGACAAAAGACTAACCTGTGATTTTGGAAATAACAGATCGATCTGTGAATGAGATTTACAGACTGGGAGACAAACAAAGGTCACAACCTTCCCCTGAACCTCATGTCACATGTGCACATCTTATCCAAAACCACCCTGCCAATCATAAACACACACACAAACTGTGTTGTCGAAGCAAAGACAAATCTGATAGCACAAGGATTTGTGTTTGTATTTTAGAGCTTACTGTACTAGAGTGACTCTGCAACTATGAAAGTGTGACTCTGTGTGTGAAACAGATGTCTAGACTGAGCAGCACTGTGATGTCGTAGAGGTTAAAGCACCTAAAGTGAGCACTGAAACGATACTGACTGTTACTGCAGAGACAGAGACATGGAGAGAGAGAGAGAGAGAGAGAGAGAGAGAGTAAGTACTGCAATGCAGGCATCAGCAGTACCTAATATGGCAGCGTCCAGTTCTCCGCCTCATTCACTATACACTTCACACCTTACTACACCCTTGAATGAAGTGCACATCGTAACTAACACCAAGCAGCCATAAACAACAGAGAGCGTGTTGTTTTATTAGTCCACTACCAGCAGATTTATGTTCTCACTGTATTGACTTGTAGTCAGAGCAAGAAAAACCTGTAAAAAGTACGGCCACACCAAAAAATAATTACCTCATTTAAGGCCTTTTCATGCGTGAAAATCATTTTAAAAGCCTTACTCATAAATCAGAACGAATTAGCTGATTAGCTTTACATTCTGCTTGACACTAATAGACCCTTTTTTAATTAGCAAACATTATGACCTTTTTTTGTGGGCGGAGCATAGCTGGAGGCTGAAGGACGTCATTGATCACTTTAATGAACAGCAGTTATCAATTTTTGACTGTTGGATAAAGGGAGATGAGAAGTTTTCTTTTTTCAGTCAGCCACCAGTTAGCTAGCATATATGCTAAAAAGTTAGCATTACATGAGAAATCAACTAACTTTGTTTCAATTTATTTCAATTCATTTTTATTTATATAGCGCTTTTATAATGTAGATTGTGTCAAAGCAGCTTAACATAGAAGATATAGCAAACTGAAACAGTATTAGTCCAGTTTTCAGAGTTGAAGTTCAGTTTAGCTCAGTTCTGTGTGGTTTACTTCTCACTGCTGAAAGTCCAAACACTGAAGGGCAAATCCATCGATGTGCAGCTCCACAAGTCCCAAAACCATGCAAGCCAGTGGCAACATTACATTACTAACCTTACTTTCCTTACTACCTCTGTCATGGTATTGTTTTTGGCTGACAATGGCTAAAGAAAAGCGATAAAACGTCATATTAAAGATTGTACACTACCTGATAAAAGTTTTGTCGCTTAACGAATTTTTACAAACAACAAATAATAACTGGACTTCTAGTTGATCATTTGGTATCAGAAGTGGCTTATTTAAAAGGCAAAGGCCTCTAAATCATGCTTATTTTACCAAAATAAAAATATGATCATGCCTTGATTTTTAATTATTTAATCAGGACAGTAAGGTCTGAGACAAAAGTCTTGTCACTTAACAGAAATTATGTACAGTTTAGAAGAGGGGTGGGCAAACTCGGTCATGGAGGGCTGGTGTCCTGCACAGTTTAGCTCCAACTCTAATCACACACACCTGCTTATAGATTTCTAGTGATCTTAAAGACACTGATTACCATGTTCAGGTGTGTTTGATTAATGTTGCAGCTAAACTATGCAGGACACCTGCCCTCCAGGACCGAGTTTGCCCACCCCTGGTATAGAATATAAAGTCATGGTGCAGTGGATAAATAATTAATATTGTCTATTACTCCCATGAGCTTGGAGGACTGCATCCATACATCTCTGCAATGACTCAAATAACTTATTAATAAAGTCATCTGGAATGGCAAAGAAAGCGTTCTTGCAGGACTCCCAGAGTTCATCAAGATTCTTTGGATTCATCTTCAATGCCTCCTCCTTCATCTTACCCCAGACATGCTCAATAATGTTCATTTTTTTAACATGTAATTGTAAATTCTGGCCAAACTGTGCAGCCCTACTGTACAAGCACAACATGAATTATTTGACCCTATCATGCAGCACTATTACCAATATGCAGTCCATTTCTGATCACCACACATTATTATGAAGGCACTTTAGTATTTTAGTCTGTAGTATTTACTGGTTCACATCACAATCAAAATAAACCCTTACACTCTAAATCTGAAGACTGGATGAAACCATTTGATTTACAAGCAAACTGTAAGTGGGTCAAACTGTAACACTCATATGCTGCTATTTAAAGAGGACCTATTATGCAAAAATGATTTTTATACAACAGTGTGTGAATATAGCCAGCTTCTAATAGTGGAAATTAATTGATTATATTTTTCACACTTTATAAAAACACTGACATACTGTTGAAGTCAGAATTATTAGGCCCCCCCCCCTTGATTTTTTTGCTTTTTTAAAACATTTGCCAAATTATGTTTAACAGAGCAAGCAAAAATTTTCACAGTATTTATGATAATATTTTTTCTTCTGGAGAAAGTCTTATTTGTTTTATTTCGGCTAGAATAAAAGCAGTTTTGATTTTTTTTTTTTTTAATTAAGGTCAAAATTATTAGCCCCTTTAAGCTATATTTTCCGATAGTCTACAGAACAAACCATCGTTATACAATAACTTGCCTAATTACCCTAACCTGCCTAGTTAACCTAATTAACCTAGTTAAGCCTTTAAATGTCACTTTAAGCTGTATAGAAGTGTCTTGAAAAATATCTAGTCAAATATTATTTACTCTCATCATGGCAAAGATAAAATAAATCAGTTATTAGAAACGAGTTATTAAAATTATCATGTTTAGAAATATGTTGACAAAATCTTCTCTCCTTTAAACAGAAATTGGGTAAAAAAATAAACAGGAGGGCTAATAATCCAGACTTCAACTGTATATAAGATAAACATGACTAGTATAAGATGTAAAAGACTTGCCATCTGTATAGGGGTCTTGCAGAGGTCTCTCTCAGTCACGAGTCTCTCCTGGTCAGTGACATACAGGGCTTTCTGAGCGAGGGCCTGGATGACGGCGTTATGACCCAAAAGAGGTTTAGCTGCGTCGCTCCTGAGAATCAGACTCCCCGCACGACAATACAACTCAGCAGAAAGAAGCAGAGACACAACAGGAGGCTTCACATGCTCCTGATCATACTGGTCCCGGTAAAAAGGGTCCTCCAACTCCACTGGCACACAGTCTAAAGAGAGAAAGCGAGAGCGATCAAAATCAATTCAACAATGCAATAATGATTGTTTCAAAGCAGCTTTACAAAAGGAGCACATTTTTGCACAACAATCAAATTCAGAAAAGTTAAGGTTATTAGTTACCATAACCTTGTTAGTTACTTTAACTAATTAACTAGTAACTAATAGCTTTTAACAGTTAAAGCTATAATATATAAACGTAGTACAATAGATTATTGACAACCTTAACACATATTAAATCTAACACCCCCCAAAAAAACTTTGATTTCAGGGAGACTTTAAACATGTAGTTGATTCCTAAATAAAAATTCATTCTCAGTTCTTTACAAATCCACAAGAAATTTGTTTTTGGACAACAAATGAATATATTCCAATCAAATGTAAGACAATTCTCTCCCTCCACTGAAAGACTAATCCTTCAAAACTCTGATGCTCCAAAATGTTCATAAATTGATAAAAAAAAAAAAGAAACTTAAGATTTAAGCAGCTTAATCCAAGTTTTTGGATGAGATAACATTATGTATGATTTAATTTAGAGTTTGTTTAGACATGACTATCAATCCAATAAAAATGTTTACAGCATTCAAAACACGCATGAGGTTCAAATGAGGTTTATTCTTGCATCTCAAACCATTGTGGTTTGTTCTTGTGAGTCAAGCAGAAGTGTCTAAAACAGGGATGACCAAACTTGTTCCTGGAGGTCTGGTGTCCTGCATATTTTAGCTCCAACCCTAATCAAACACACCTGAACAAGCTAATCAAGGTCTTAATAGGTATACTTGAAACACCCAGGCAGGTTTGTTGAGGCAAGTTGGAGCTAAACCCTGCAGGGCACCAGACCTCCAGGAACAAGATTGGTGACCCCTGTTCTAAAACTAATATTTAAGTAAAAATAAGATGATTAGATTAGATCTTTATATGAATAAGATCTTTTGTAAACCAAGCCTTCATTTATTTAATCCAAAGAACAGCAAGAATAACCCTGAAACATTGTGAAATATTTTTACTATTTTAAATAACTGTTTTGTATTTGAATATATCTGTAAAATATATATCTGTTATTAGTTTTTACTTAAACATAAAACAATTAAGTTGTCCCCCAAAACAATGCAAGAAATGTGTTGTTTAAGCTCATTTTAAATAAGTAGTTTCAAGAGTTCACACTTAGCTGATGATTGATAATAAAGCGTATTTGGCATGCTGTCCCTGGAGACAGCCCAGAGCTCAGAATATCCTTGAGCCCGGAGCTCCCTCCCGCTTGAAGGGCGAGAGGAGAGTTTGAGCTCAGGTAGGTCTTGAGAACTTCCCAGCTTGTGAACGTGCTGAGATATATCTGACTAAGAGTGGCTTTAAGATGCTATTTTGAAGTAGTTAATTTACTTATAGTTTATGTATTTGGAGAGTGGGAGGAAATCTGGAAAAACCCTTCAAACTCTTCACAGAAATGCCGACCGGCTCGGAGACGAGCTAAACCAGCTGTGTTTTTGCTGTGAGGCAAAAGTGCAAACCACTGGGCTGCCGTGCCACCCTATCAAAAAAGGGAATTAGTAGGGGTGGAAGGGGGGATTCTCAAAGATTAAGATGCCTGGAGTGGAAAGCTCTGATAATTTATAGTGTGTCAGTATTCGATTAATTGGTGAATTATACAATGATGATTTGTAGAATTTTTACTTTGGGGTGAAAAACCCTTCAATGTGCTTTTAAATCTGCTTCAGGATCAATGCTTGGTCAAACGGACTGACCTGAGGTCAACAAGTGTCACCTGAAAAAAGAGGCACACTGTTTTCAGACTAATCCCATTATGGATCTCGCTTAATCTGATTTACTGAAGCCCTTTAGAATAGCACCAAAGACTCACATACACACACAAACAGAGAGACAGGTACAGGCATGCATTAACTGAGTCACACACACACACAGACTGCAATCACGGAGATGCAAACAAACCCAATTACACACACATAAACGCTCAGGTGCAGGCCTGCAAATACTGAGTCATAAGCGATTGCCTACAAACACAAAGCAGCGGTGATGCACGCGAACAGAAAATAACAGCATGAGGATGACAACATCTGCAAACAGACTGACAATTCAGCTCTGTTTAAAACGCTAGAGTCTGACTCCAAATGTCTGAGGCTTGAAGGCCAAGGAAATTCCTGGCATCCCATAATGCCTCAGTGTGAGTCAGACTACAGGCGATACGGATTCCTCTTCTTCCCGGGTCATTTCCTTTCAGTTTGTCTTTGTGTGTGTGCGCGCATGTTCATTTTCTTTTTCAGCCGCAGGAAACGTGTTTTAAACGTGAAGAAAAGTGACTCCCTCAAAAAACAACACTGCAAGAGATTTTTTTTATTACAAACTAAAAAATTGTATACATATTTTAATGCGAGGTAAAATAAATAAAAATATAAAATAAAATGTTAAACAATAAAATGTATAACAATTTAAGTGTTCAATTAAAAAATATATATACACTCACCTGCCACTTTATTGGGTATACATGTCCAACTGCTCGTTAATGCAAATTTCTAATTAGCCAATCACATGGCAGCAACTCAATACATTAAAGCTGGGATCACACTAGAGTTTGAGCATGTGAAATTCTGTCGTGCGGTGCTGCAAAAAGGGGCGGGATTAAACAAGCTTATTAGACATTTTTAAAAGCGAGCGACTGCTCCATGTTTTAAATTTCGGTCCAGAGAGGTCATGTTTTGATACTCGATTGGTCTCACACAGTCAAGTGATGCGAATTCGCAACTTGCGAAACTTGACGTATGACCCTGTGTTTCCGATCTGAAGCATTCGCATGCATATGATTGGAAGTCTATGGGAGAAAAAGCCCAGTGTGACCGCAGTTTTAATCATGTGGACATGGTCAAGACGATCTTCTGCATTTCAAACCGAGCATCAGAATGGGGAAGAAAGGTGATTTAAGTGACTTTGAATCTGGCATAGTTGTTGATGCCAGATGGGCTGGTCTGAATATTTCAGAAACTGCTGATCTACTGGAATTTTCATGCACAACCATCACAACCAACGCACCACCAAAATTGGACAAAAAAGATTGGAAAAATGTTGCCTGGTCTGATGAGTCTCGATATCTGCTGCGACATTTGAATGGTAGGGTCAGAATTTGGCATCAACAACATGAAAGCATGAATCCAGCCTGCATTGTATCAATGGTTCAGGCTGCTTTTGGTGATGTAATGGTGTGGGGGATATATTTCATCATGGTAAATGCATGACTGAGAGCCGTTTTTATGGCGAGTTTGTTTGTGCATCCTTATTCTTTTTTATTTCAAAGAGCGCAACATTTCTCAGAGTTCTTCCTGACTCACTGCTATGTTGTTTGGCGGGGGAACAACAGGAACCCAGAGGGGACTGTAATGTGTAAGAGTGAAAACCGATTTTCATTCAAACAAATCGATGTAAATTTCACATTTGAGTTATTCGATAAAATCTATTTATCGCCATACCAACCACTCTATCCATCCATCCCTCAAAACTTTGTAAAATGTGTCTTCCATTCCTTTATATAAGCACGGAAATGGATGGTCTATATATGTATTTTCAACATTTAGAGAGACATGAGTAATTACTTGAACACATTCTCCCAAACATTTATGAAAATCTGCTTCGTCAATGGAAACCCTTTTCCTAGTTCAGAGCCAAAAGCTTAAAACACACACACACACACACACACACACACACACACACACACACACACACACACACACACACACACACCTTCTTTTCAAGCTCAGAGTTTTTCCTGAACATGCTCATAAAGTTCCGCCTGCTTATGGAAAGGTTTTTTTCCCTTCATTTCATCCCAGCCAGACTGCAGGACAGAGGCAGGAAGCGGCTCTCGAAGGCACCACAAACACCGGGAGGAAGTGAGGGGTCAGAGCCAGAAAAGCCTGAGGCAGCAACTCACAAAAGCCCTGCAAAAGTTCACCTCGGTGCTTTTGTGAGTTTAAATGTTACTGTAAGTAAACACATCTCAGTTCCTTTGTCATATTCTCATTATAAGGTCAATTATCAAGATCTTTACTGCAGATTACACACTGGATAATCTGCAGGGATTTCTGAGATGTTCTTGGCATGTGCTTATAATAATCATTCCAAACATACTTTACTGACGTGTTCTATGTTGCTTGTAACTTGTACTTTGTACAAACCTTTTCTTGCTTAAAACAACACACTAAAATGGTCCATATGTTGTGTGTGCAATATATTCCAAGCTACAGTTTCAGAAAATATTCACAAAAATGCTGGGTTCCACACAATCCCTTCATGTCACCCGAATGCAAATTTATTAGGCTAACTTAACGGTTCTTACAATTTTATGTTGATTGAGCATTAGCTTTACGCTTTTACACTGTAAAAAATGATTAGTTACTTAAAGGAGTGGTCCAGAGAGTATTTTTAAGACTTGGTTGTATTTATGGGGTGCAAATCAATGTGTGCTCATGCTTTATTTGTAGAAAAACAAGTTATTTTTTCTTTGATTATATACAGCTACTTGGCTAACATGAAAACGGCTGTCATATTTCCTAGTTCCTCTAAAACCCGCCCTCAAGAGGCTCTGATTAGTCAGCTAACATAATGTGCTATGACTTTCAGATCAGCTTCACATCACCAAGAAACGGGTGTCTGTTATAACTTATAACTGTTATAAGCGGTGTGACTGTGTGTAGCATGAAGGGTTTATGACAAACTTTGCTTGCTGTATGCTTTGCCAAGCTAACTCTGTAAAAGCCAATGTCTGCCTTTGCATTTAACTTTGAGCATATTACATTTAGAGATATTGTTTATGTTCACACAGCTACATTACACATCAACTAAAGTTTAAAAAATGATGTTGTAGAGGACCACCCCTTTAAAGCAAGTAAACCAATTGCCTTAAAAGCAACAAGTTGACTTAATTTTTACAATTAATTAATTGTACTCACTTTTTTTAAGTCAACTATTCCATTTTTTACAGTGTCAG